GCTTCTTCAGCTCTGACTGGTGGGCAATGGAAGGATTTACAGTATATTCCTTGCAAACAGCTGGTCATTTGCATTCTTTTAGAGGATTGTTGAGGCCACTGGAGGTTTATCTCTTGAAAAAGCACCTTTGGGATGCCCCAGAAACATTTATTGATCAAACTAAAATATAAATAAATATTCTTAAGTAATTATAAGTAAATATTGTAGAAGCAATGTTTTGATTAAATACACAGGAAGAATAGCCAGAACAATCTGTATAACTTTACTCTTCAGAAGGCAGTTCTGTTTGTGTGTTATTTTTCAAGTTTGGACTAGCTTTTTCATCTATTTTTCATCAGCCATTCATAAATCGAACGTTTCTTAATAGTTCTATAATAGTACATAAACTGCAATACCTGAAGGTTTTAAAAGTAAGTAAAGCCTAATGTGACTTTATACTGTATGTTGGAAACTAACTTGTAATATTTTTCCTAAAAGCAAAGCCACATGTGGTCTGGTTTGTTGTTTTATTATTGTTATGGAAAGCATTGACTTAATTTGGGCAGTGGTTTAATATAGCAATACAATTTTTTTTTTGCAAGCTTTTTTCTCTTTAAAGCACTGCTATAACCTGAAGCTGCTATTAACTGAAAAGTGTACGGTGTGTAGATAGGAATGAAAGAATAAATATAGTACTGTGCAAATTCTGTGTAGGAGACAAGATCATTTTTTTTTAAGTTTGTAATTTCTCATCTTCATAGAATTTAAAGAGCAATGCCAAAGTTTAATGCTCTGTTTCTGAGATTCTAAGAACATTCATTAGCAGCAAAAAGCAAAATACTGATCTTAACTGGATTGTTCTTATGATCTATCAGGGCTTCCTTTGTTTTTCCTCTATCAGCATGAGCAAGCTGGCATTCAAACAACACATATGTTTCTACATTAAGAGTTCTATATAGCTTTTTGCTACATCATATACATATTTAGATGTCTATTGTGACATTATTATCTATTTAGATAATTATTGTTTCATTCTTTTGTATGACTTTTTAAAAAATTGTATTGGCAGATATTTTTTTAAGAAATAGAGTAATATTTCAGAAAGAAACTATGTGAAATCTTTGCCTCAAACCACCGGAAACTGTTTTGATTGCCTCACAATATACTGCCTTTGAAAGCAAGAATTTCTCTTGTGAATTGTGATGATTATTAGATTCTTAATTGTGATGCCTTAGTTATAAAATTAAAACTGCTGCTGTTTTAATTACAACGACTACAAACTATTGGTAGTTGGTCAAATCCACATCTGGTTGAAGCAGTTCTTATTTTATATTTAGTGTTGCTGTGGAGTTAAGACATTGATGCCGCCATAGAGAACAAGGGAAATATTGATTTTTCTAATGCCATTGTTGGGAACGTTTATAGAATGGCATGATACTCATTAAAATGAGACTCTTTGAAGTTACTTCTAAAGGTGTCCTGGGGAGTTAATATTCAAGGAATTTCTAATGGAAACCACAGAGATCTGAAAATGAGGCCCACAACACCTTAACAAGGCCAGCAGCAATCATTTAGGAGGAGGTGACATGACACATTTCAATGTTTTTCCTTGTTAAAGCTATTGGCACCATGCAGCAGGCACCTACATGGGGCAATAATAGAGGCAATCTGGTCTGCCACATTCAGCCTATGTCACCAGATTTCATAAGACCCTGCCTGCTGATACTGGTGAGTCTAATCCCTAAAGGTTTAGAAAAGTGTCCTAGAAATCTCAAAAACTGAGGTGACAGCAGGCTGAAGCAATGCATTTGCCCTAGGCATATGTCTTATGGGCTTTGCCTTAGTTACGAACCCATCTGCTAAACTTCCTACCATCTTGCATTGAAAATCAGAGTATAATGGCTTTTAATTAAGCAGAACCATAGCTAAGTACAAACAGGTAGGTATCTTAAGCTGAGAGAATGAATTCAAATCAATCTCTGCTAAATGAAAGTGCTTCTGTCTTTGCACAATTAGAAACTGAGTAAATGTCCTCTAAAGGGATCACATTCTTTATTTTTAAAGTGATTAAACTTAAGAACTGACAACTATAGAGTCAGATAACTTGTTTTATTATTCAGAAACATAATAATTGAATTATGTATATATGTAAAATTGTACAAAATCACATATATCATCATTTGAAGTTTGTGATGCCCGTCTGCTCAGGGTGAACTCTCTTAGCGATAATTAGAAACAAGTACATTCAAATTAGTCTTCAGAGAACCAAGTCCCACTTTGTAAAGCATCTTCTTAGGCTGAGAAATATTTGTTTATCGGGCTGTGATTGCTGGAAGAATAGCAAGTCCACCTTGCTTGGATTTGACTTCAACCGGTTCTATCCACTCCGGACTGTCAGAGCCTCCATACACTGGGAAAGAACATCAACAGAATATTTCTACAGCCCAGGAAACTGATGCATATCTGGATATTATTAGTATACTGATAATAATATAGCTCAAACTATTGTATCTTCCCCGGTGGTTTGATATAGATGTTAAATACATGGGATGAGCAGTTCCTAAACCTAGACTACACCAAGAAACAGATACCAGGTGTTTCTAAAACTATTTTTAAGTTTTATTAAGATTGGCTATTGTAACACAATTTTGCAAGTCATAATGTGCTTATCCTTCTATCTTCATGTGAATTTGGGATATTTTTATCACTCCTCCCTCCCTCTGCCAAACCTTAACCTGGGCCTCTGCAATGTTTATTTGCTTGTTGCCTCTATTGGATCTTCCCCATCAAGATCAACCTCTTACTATATCCCATATATCAGACCATTCCTTCCCCATAACTGCAGACCATCCTCTTAGGAAGGAGAAGATACACTTTAAGGCAATGTTTCATCTTCCTGATTCCCAAAGATAGTCCGGTAAATCAGTGTCACCAACCGGTGGGCCACGAGAAAATGTTGGTGGTCCACAGAGGAATATCACCCCCAGAGCACCCCCCAAAACAATTAACCCAGGCTACGTGGGAACACAAGGCTGCACCGCCCATATGGCCGGCCCATAGGAACACAAGGCTTGCGCCAGAAAAACACAAGGTAGTGAGGAGAGGTGGGGAAGGGCAGAGGGGGGGAACTTGCCTGGCCACCAGGCTGCTTTCCACTTTTTTCTTCTAAGCAGGTTAGGAATGTGGCTGCCTTGGAGGGTGTGTGTGTGTGTGTGTGTGTGAGCTGTGTTAGATTGGATCTCTCTCTCCCCCTCCCCCTGAGAACAGAGCTCAAAAGCAGGAATGTGACTGCCTTGGAGAGGGTGGGGTGTGTGAGGGATCTCTGTGTATTTGTGTGAGAGAGAGAAAGAGAGAGGGAGAGAGGGAGGGACAACGGTTAGATCAGATCTCTCTCTCTCTCTCTCTCTCTCTCTCCCACCAATGTCAGCAAGCCACCATCACTCAAAATTCATATTAATGGTCCCGGAATTTAAAATTATGAGTTTGGTGGTCCCTGAGGTCCAAAAAGTTGGCAACCCCTGCAGTAAATTACTATGGTCAATGCTATCAAAAAACTACAAGAGATCTAAGAGGAGCAAGAGAGGTATATCAATTCTATCTAGGTCCCCAAAGGAGAAGTTTGGAAACTAGCCAATAGTCATTTAGGAACAAAGGATTCACAGGTGGCATTTTTAGAGAATATACCACAATCTATTGCTTGACTGTAGGCAACTCCCTTCACACAGAGAGGGATTATCAATCTCATGGATCCAAGTGATCACTTCCCCATTCACTCCTCACAAAAGCCAGGGATCCAAAGGATTTATATATGGCAGAAGACCTCACCTCCACTTCCTTGGAAGTCACCCATACAAAGAGAATCCTAATAATATGGGTAGGCAATGCCCTAGTCACTGCCCAAATTCTGATGAGTCAAGATTGTGGCACTTCTCTGTCAGCAAAGTATTATGCAAACTGATTTTAGCAGCCAACTGAAATGACTCGTCTCCAAAAGGTCAAAACCTAAACAAGACCGCAGGACAAGTAACTGATACAATAACAGTGAGCCTACTTTACCACTCTTAACAACTAATGTGAGCATATAACCATGTTTATTCAGTTGTTTTTTTGCCTTTTTCTATTGAGGTTCATGGGTGTGTGTGTGTCTGTCAGTCATGGTGCCAACTAGGATCCACCTTCAGAAAGAGGCTGTTCAGGAAGCACTGAGTCCAGTACCCAGCCTTTCCCCTGTTGCAGAGGTTTACCAGGCACTGACCAATTAATTCGAATTTTTAAATATTATTGCATGGAATACATTTTAGCTATTAATTTGGTATGGCAGAGTAAATGGTAGCATATACTGAATACATTAAAATGATGACGACACAAGTGACTGGAGTACACAGTGGCATTTTATTAGTGCTTACATGCAGCAACCACTGGGACAAAATCTAAAATTTAGGATTACAATTTTGATTTTAAAAAAGTATTGAAGACTACAAATGCAACAAAACTGATGGTTCATGCATTTTCACATTCTACACACATAGGCGCAACTTACATCATGACTTTTCATTTTGTGGAGAAAAATCGTTGTTCAACAAGAAAAGCTGAACTTTTCTTTGTGCAAGACCTGTTTGGGGATTTAATATATGGCTATACAGGTTTATGCATTTTATCACACTAATATATAAAAACTGGAATTATCCATGCTGAATGAATCAGATACATCATTCATGATAAAGTGAAATATATGTTCTTGAGATTCCTTTGATACTTGGTTTAGAAGATTTAGTTGGACTAACCATCTTTTAGGGTGTGATAATGTTAAACCAATTGTAAAATTATTTTTAAAAATTTAAAATTTAAAAAAAGATAAAGTGCTGTAGCAATTGTATACTAAAAACTTTTAATAACAGTAATGAAATCTAGAACTATATTGAACATTCATAAAAAGGGAAATTAGGAAGATATTTCATGTTTAAAATACTGGGAGGAGAAACAGTTTAATGGAACTAATACTGCCTTTTTCTTCCTATCAATGCTGTGGCCTTTTTTCATTGCTTTGAAATCAGGAGGAAATTAACATATTTAAAACACGTTTTCAAATACATATATTTGCATTCCTAACACTCTATAAATGCACCACTTGTGCACAGGCCTTTGGATAGATAGCCATTTTACATTGTTAATAATATTCAGTGCAGCAATAACTTTAAGATATACATTTGATCTCTTTTAAGAATCTGAGCAAAAGTTTTAATGAAGGCAGAACGGAAGAAGTCATTAAAATGCTTAACAGAGATTATTATTCCAATTGAAAAGCCTACAAAATACAGGTAATGTTTTCATAGCTGGACCATTACAAATAACCCTAGATTTAAGGTCAACAATAGATTAGCCAACTATAATCTATGGATAATTCTATATTCAATGAAAAATGGTAATTAAGCTGAAATTACTGTTCATGCAAGGTATCACAAGAATGTGTGAAATACAGTATATGCTTTCCCAATATTACCATCAGGTAATTTCAATAGATGTAATTTGATTTTAAACAATGCTTCAGAATTTATTTTGTGTGGAATATTATTGAAAGCAGCATTCTATTTTAAATAAATTAATGAATTATATGCTTTGCAGGGAATAATAAGCTCTGAAAACACATTAATACTGGCTGTGATTTCACCAACATCATATTTAAAGCAAAATTGCCCTCTATATCATTAAAGAGACGTAGACGCAACAATTATGCTTTCAAAGGCGGTCCCTGCTAATTTATATTATAGCTGGTACTTTGTGCTTGCTTCTGTAAAAGATTTATAAAAGGAAATTTTGTACCTCTTTTGAAGTTTCAGTTATTATATACCTAAAGAAATTGATATTTAAGAAGTTGATCACAAAGCAGTATTTAAATTATATTAATAAATTTAATATATAAATTATAAAGAATTGCTATTTATATACATTGCATTTAATATATTTATGATGTCTTTTAACATAGCTGCCTTTTGTGATTTTTATAATTAACTATTGTAAATTTAAAGCATCCTTTAACTCACTTTTGTATCAAGCAGGAATTAAAAGTAGAGAATTTAAGCAAAACAAAAAACAAAACCCTTCATAAAGCTTAACTTTATTTAATTCTAAGAAACACTTTACACTCCAGCCTGTTAATATTTCCTATTAAGATTAACCAAGTTAATTTGAAAACTTAAAAAGTTTTTAAAAATTAAATATTAAAAATTCCAACATATAAAGTGGTTTACATTCATCTGGTATATTTGAAAAACACATGTAGAGAGAACTTAATAATTTAATATAATGGAATCTCAGATTAAATGTCAATGGCCCAAGAATTTAAATAATGTAAGTGAAAGTCATTAAATGTGTTACTATGCAACATCTGAAACCTTTCAACCACCAACTGATTTTTAAAATATATTCTATAGAAACTATGAAAATAAACACTTATTTTAAATGCACAAGTTAATATTAACATAGCTTACAATTTGTACTTTATTTGAATTATAGAGGACAAATGTATGCTAGCATAGCTTAGAATTTGTACTTTATTTGAATTATAGAGGAAAAATGTATGCAAACTATCTCCCAAAATAAACCAAAGTCTAATAATTCAAATCCAAATGAGATCTCTGTTCATGGCACAATATGCTGCTTAATGTGGTTAAGAAAATTTAAAAATACAAGGAATTGTTGCTCTTTCTGATAATACATTAAGCTATTTTAGTTACAAAAGGGTTTTAATCAGTAATACATAATCAAAAACAAAACTTTCTGAATTAAACTTATTATTACTCTGAAAAAGGAAAAATATTTTCCATTTTTCTCCATAGAAATGCTTATATGTTTGTCCATGAAAAAATGTGCATTACACAATCAAGAAGAAAATTGAAGAAAAACATCATTTCATTCTTCGCAACACTGCATCCTCCTTATGTCTAAGCCTATTTGCACTTCATACTAGCAATCGTTCTGCCTGAATTTTTATAAAATAAAGGATTACAATATAGTAAACAATATTTTCTGTATGGCAATATTTTCCATTAGAATTGCATTTACCACTATGAAATAGTTGCACAGCAATGCACATAAATTTATTTAGTCAGAGACATGCTGAGTCACTATGTCCATCACTCTTTAATAGAGGACAATATTTGACTCTGACACAGAATACAGTACTGAAATAATTGCAATCAATTTTAAAAAATAATTTCCTATATTGGAGAAAACAAGCAAGTTAATCTCAATCTCGTCTCAAATATTGCAGAATCCAAATGATGCATATGTGTATACAGGCAAACCCCTAAACACACATGTATACGTTGGCTGACATTTAGAAAGTTCCTGTCAGCTTTTCTCCCCATACTTCTTATAGTCTAAACAAATGAGGTATTATCCACTAGTTTCTTCTGTTTTATTTCTCTTGCTTAAAATATGCATCTGTGTGCTTAAACCAATGGCATGCTGTACCTTTATATATTAAGCTCTGTTCCATCCATACAGATTATGGAATTTGCCATTTGAAAAGCTCACATTTCTTCAAGAGCACAAATGTAATAAAAGCTCTACTTCATCCCCTCGGGCAAAAATGTATTATTGCCTCATTTAGTAGTGATTCCTAAAGTACATCACATTTTCCTTCATATTAAGAGCTGCAAAACACATTCTGACTATGCACATTCATTCTGGAAGCATGCTGCAAAATCCCAAAGTGTTTGAATGAAGTGCAAAATAAATATTCAAGTATGTATATTAGATGACTATTGTACACGATTATCCAAACTAACCATAATATTTTGAAAATAAAGCATACCTGTAAGTACATGTTCAAGGTAAAGGAATGTTCTGCAGTAAAAGGAGTTTACATCTATCTTGTAAAACCTGGAGTTTATATACAGATTCAAGAACTAATACTAACTTAAATTTGGAGTCAAATGCTTTTAGGACAAAACATGAATATGAAATTTACAATATCAAAACACTGGACTAAGCAATCCATCCTCTTAATTAATACCAAGGAGTGTTGGAATTAGCTTAGGTTTTTGAAAATTTGCCAGCTCGCCGAGAAGGTTCATATGGCACTCGTAGAATACTTGGAGTTTCTTCCATTACTCGTACTAAAAGATTGTCAATATAATCCTCAAGTTCACGAATGTGGGTATCTTTTTTCTTCAGTTGTTCTTTGTGTTTCATCAACTCCTGTAAGACCTCTTCATATGTAAGATTACGATATCCTGATGCAGCATCAAAAGGATTTCCATCCTAGAATAAAGATATTTTTTAAGATGACAGAATGAGAAGCATTGCCTTAATAGAAAAATGTGAATCAGAGGCCTCACAAAAGTTTCTCCATATATTTCTCCAAAGGTGGAAGCACAATTAAATAAAGAGCAAAGAAATGCACTTATGACAAACACCTCTGTATAAATGCTGCAAATACGTCAAGACCCATTTCTGTCCTGAAATGTCTTTTTTTCTTTAAAAACAAGTTTTTAAAATATTGAAACAAACAGCTTATAGGTAGTTCTCACAAGCTCAGTTGGGACCAGAACCTCTGTCATTAAGCGATGTGGTCTTTAAGTCATTCATACCCAATTTTATCACCACTTTTAAACAGTTTATAAGCAAAGGTGGCTCTCCCCGTTGATTCTGCTTGTTGGAAGCCACTGAGGAAGTCACAAATGGTGATCATGTGACCTCAGGAGTCAGCAAACACCATAAACACAGGCCAATTGCCCAGTGCTCAAATTTTGTTCACATGACTGTGGGGATATTGCAAACTTAAGTGTGAGGGCCAGTCATTAGATACTTTTTCCAGTGCTGTCATAACTTTGAACATTTGTTAAACAAGTTATCATAAATTAAGGATTACTTAACTTCACTGTATCACTTCATGTAATTTCAACACTGCTCTAACTTTGTTATCATAGCACAGAGGTGTCAAACTCAAGGCCTGGGCCCGGATCTAGCCCATGGGGTGCTTAGATCTGGTCCATGGGGCGGCTCTGGAAACAGCAAAGGACCACAATGCCTCTGCCAGCAAAAACAGAGCTCCGGAGGCTGCAGATGGCGCACCTGAGCTCCGGTTTTGCTGGCAGTGGGTTGCAGGAGGCCATTGCAGCCAAAAACAGAACATAGGAGCCCATTTTCGCTGGCAGAGTGCTTGGGCCACCAGAGGTGTCCCCAATATAAGTGATGTTGAGCTGGCCACACCCACCCTGGCCACGTCTCCCCAAGGTCAAACACAACCCTGATGCAGTCCTCAATGAAATTGAGTTTGTCACTCCTGTCATAGCACATCCTACATAGCACTGTACATGATGATGTCACAAACTTCATGAATTAATGAATAATTAGAACCCCATTTTTAAAGAAATGCAGAGAGCATTTAGTAAATGTGTTCTATATGTTATATGGATTGGTAAAAATCAAGGATACTTGTATTACTACCATTTGGAAGCTGCAGATAATATTTCTACATCACAGCCAATTTTAATCATACAATTTCAGAACTATTTACTAGATGTGTCTTTCTGTGTGCAAAATTTCATGTAGGTAACATATGCAATGTTATAACCGATGTAAGCATGAAAAAAACAGGAAAGCTATTTTATTTGTTCCTCACTAGAAGTTGTAATGTTGTTTATAAGTAACAGGAGGCAACAACTGTTTCACACATTTTCTCGAATCAACCATTGGACATCAAGAATTATAAGATTTGGTATATTTCTATTGTTTCTATCAAAACTGCTATTCCAACATTTTTTTGTTTAAATCAGTGGTTCCCAAACTTTTTCAGCCCCCTTGGTGCTACAACCTCATCCTCAATGCACCCCACCCAGGTGCGGGAGTCAAATATCTGTGGGCGTGGCCTAATTTGAGGGTGTGGTTTGCTGGTAACGTGATTGGTGGCGTGGCTTGCTGGTCACGTGACTGGATGAGCGTGGTTAGGTGACTGGCAAACCAAATACAAGTGGTCCTCACTTAATGGCCGGTTGCTTAGCAAGTGTTCTAATTTATGACTGGCCTCCTCAGAACTACTTGACCTGTTTTTGGAGTTTTGACAGCCATGCACACACATATACACATACTCCCTCCCAACCCTGCTGGAGCAGGTCATTGGACAAGAATCGGCAAAGCATCTCTGATTAGATTCGAGTAGTGAATAAAATCTAATCAGAGATGCTTTGCCGATTCTTGTTGATTTGTTTTATTTGTATTTCTTTATTTTATGTTGCTGAATTGCATTGACAAGTGTGTCCCTTCTTGTGCACAACCCAGAAGCTTTTGTGATTCTTTGCAGCAAAAATTACCGACCTCTGGCTTTGCTCTCCTTTCCCAACAGTGCGTTCGGGGCGTAACTCCTTGCACCAGAACATGCAAGTGAATGGGCCTTGCCTCGAACGCGGTGGCAGCAGGATTTTTTCTCACCCCTGAATTGTGCCCTGCCGCTCATCTCCAGTGCCCCCTGCCACCTCTTAGTGCCCCACTGCCAGCCCCCTTGCCTCTCAGCGCCACCCTAAGGCATCCCAACGCCCCCCAGGGGGCGGTACCGCCCACTTTGGGAACCAGTGATCTAGGTCAACTGCTATGACTATGAAGTATTGGAATGATCAGGCTGACTATATTCATAAGCCAAGAAAAGAACAGCTACATCTTTCTATGTAGACAGAAAACCTTAGCTGCAAACAACCTGTAGACTTGAACCAGAAAAGGGGAAAAGTGAAAGAGACAGGAACAATTAATTGCCATTCAAGAAAGAATGAAGATTAGGCTTGCCCAGATGGTTACAAATTCTGGGTATAGTTTATTACTTTGTCCTGGCCTTGAAGAACTGATCTCATCCACTCCTTTTGCTTGCATAGCTTGCTTTTTTATTTTGTAAATCTGATGACAGGGCTTCTCTCTCTTTCTCTTGTAATATGTGAATAGCTAGTTAATTGAAAATTGGGACACAAATTCACACAGAAAAGCAACAAATAAATAAATAAAACAACCCAGAGAATTCTAGGTAAATCCTGCAACTGTCAGAATGGTTCAGCTTTAAATTCTGGCAGAACCTCAATAAGAAAGTTGCAGGAAAATACAAATACTAAGGAATTTACAGAACACCATTTTTTTCTATCTCTCACT